CAGGTATTCATAATTCATAACTGATTACTTCTTTATGATTATCTCATAGTGATGGAAGGCTAAATAACTTATGTGCTAATGAGAACAGAGGCTGGTCACAAGAAAGACCAAGCCATGATTAATGTTGGAACTTTCAGTCTTACCCTCTAACCTCCAGAAAGGGGCTGAAGTTGATCACCAATGCCCAATATTTAACCAATCATTACCTACATTGTAAGGCTTCCATAAAAACTGGAAAAATGGGGGAGCTTCTAGAGGGCTAAACACATGAGGTTCCTTAAGGAAGCTGCTTACGCCTTCTCAAAAAACCACACCCTATGCATCTCTACATCTACACCTCTGTATCCTTTATTAGTACGCCAGTAAATATAAGTAAAATGTTTCCCTGTGAGCTCTAGCAAATTAGTTAAATCTAAAAAGTGCATACTGGGAACCCCTTTTTATAGCTATTAGTCAAAAGTATAGGTGACAACCTATTGCTTGTGGTTTTGTTTTGTTTTTAATATTTTTTAGTTGTCAATGGATCTTTATTTTATTTATTTATATGTGATGCTGAGAATCAAATCCAGTGCCTCACATACAATAGGCAAGCACTCTACCACTGCACTAGGAACCCAGCCCCCTATTGCTTCTTAATGGCATCTGAAATAGAGGTAGTCTTACAGGACGAAGCCCTCAACCTGTGGGGATCTGACTCTAAATCCACGTAGATGGTATCAGAATAAAATTGAATTAGAAGACATCCAGCTGATATCTGCTACAGAAATGATTGGTTATGGGCTGGGGCTCAGTGGTAGAGCACTTGCCTAGCACATGTGAAGCACTGGGTTCAAGTCTTAGCACCACTTAAAAAGTAAAGATATCATGTTTATTTACAACTAAAAATATTTTAAAAAGAAAAAAAATGATTGGTTGTTAATAAGAAGAAATCCCCAAATAATATTTATTTCCCAAACCAGAAATCAAAGAAATATCCTGTGGGGCTAGAGATATAGTGGTAGAGTGCTTTCCCAGCATACATAAGGCCCTGGGTTTGATCCCCAGGACTTAAACAAACAAACAAAAAAAAAGTTCTGCATTGCTAGAGTATAGTAGTAAAAGCTGAGTTTTGTTTTTCATATATCACATACATACCCAACACAATAATTCCCAATTGTCTTTATTCAAATGATCCTGTTTCAAAATGTTATTGTGTGTAAAAATGTTATTGTGTGTAGTCCCCCTTTATTCACAGGGGAAACATTCTAATAACCCTCAGTGGGATTCCTGAAACCATGCTTAGTTGCAAACCTTAGCCTCCCAAACTGCTGGGATTACAGGTATGCACCACTCTTGCCGGGCTTCTTTAAATTTTTTTTGGGGGGCGGGGGCAGGTGCTGGGGATTGAACACAGGGACTGTACATGCAAGGCAAACATTCTACCAACTGAGCTATATCCCCAGCACCATTTTCTTTAATTTTTAGTGGATACCAGCTCTTCCTTTTTTTTTTTTTTTTTTTTAATCTCAGGCTATATATCCATTGAAAAAAAATTTTTTTTCTTCTCCATACTGGGGATTGAACCCAGGGGTGCTCTACCATTGAGGTACATCCCTAACCCTTTTAATTTTGAGACAGGGTTTCACTAAGTTTGCCCAGGCTGACCTCAAACTTGAAATCCTCCAGTCTCAGCCTCTTCAGTTGGTGGGATTACAGACATGTGCCACCACACCCAGGATGAACTGGAGATAATGAGTCATTTGTACTGTTGACTTGCCCAGTTTTCTAGATTTGGCAGCTTGATATTCATAGTATGTTTTAATGATGACCTTATATTTCCCATATTTATTGTAAAGTGGTAATGAGCTTTAGAGATTTGAATTCAATGAAATTTAAATCTTTTGGCAAAAATATACACCATAAGTGGTGCTAGGTAGTCTTCCTCCTACAGTACTCCAAGAGACACATTAACCTTTCATCTGATGGTTTCAGCATCCACAAATGATCATTAAGATCTCTGATTTCATTAAAGGCCTTAATAATGACTTTTAAATTCTGTCATTCCTCTGTACTTATTAGCTCAAATTCTTCTATTAAGAAATGAACATGGGGCTGAGGGTATGGTTCAGTAGTAGAGTGCCTGGGCAAGGCCCTGGGTTCGACATTCAGCACCAAAAAAAAAAAAAGAAAGAAAGAAAAAGAAATCATTATTCTTTTATCAAATCTTTTGATTACCATGAAAGACAGTAAGTATATACAGAAAAAATAAATAAATAAAGGCTTGATTTTTATTTTTCCCTTTTGTTTAATAAAATAGAAATATTTTAAATATGTTAAACAACTAAAACTTTGGAGTTTACCTTATTTCCTAACTTCCCAATCACCAAGTTGAATTAGTAAACTAGGACTCTTCCATGAAAACAAAAACTGGCTATCAAGAGTAATAAGATGGGGCTGGGGATGTGGCTCAGGGGGTAGCGCGCTCGCCTGGCATGCATACGGCCCGGGTTTGATCCTCAGCACCACATACAGACAAAGATGTTATGTCCACCGAGAACTAAAAAATAAATATTAAAATTCTCTCTCTCTCTCTTAGAAAAAAAAAAAAAAAAACCTCAGGTTCTTTGGCTCCAAAAGCTACAGTCAGTCCTGGGAGAGGAAAGAAAAAGAAAAAAAGAGTATTAAGATTTCCAGTATTTTGCATATCAGACAATATACAGAGAAATAAATTTTGATAAAAGGTCTCCTACAGGGGTTGGCATTGTAGCTCAGTTTTATAGCACTTGCCTAGCACCTGTGAAGCACTGGGTCCTCAGCACCATATAAAAATTAATAAATAGGGCTGGGGATGTGGCTCAAGCAGTAGCGCACTCGCCTGACATGCGTGCGGCCCAGGTTCGATCCTCAGCACCACATACAAACAAAGATGTTGTGTCCGCCGAAAACTAAAAAATAAATATTAAAAATTCTCTCTCTCTCTAAAAAAAAAAAAAATGAATAAATACAGGTATTCTGTCCATCTACAACTAAAAAATATATTTTTTTAAAAAAGGTCTCCTACATTTATTAAAATCCTTATTACTATCCATATACCCTTTTGAGCTTATTGAAACCCATTATCTTTAATGTACATAAAACATATTTTAAAAAGGATCTTTTGAAATCACATGGCTACATTCTAACCAATAATTCTGTCAAGAAAAACAGGAAGAATAAACAAGGGAGGGAGAAAGAAAATCTGGTGAAAGTCAAGATTCACTTTTGGAGCTGGGGGAAAAAAAAGACAGAAATTCTACAGGTACAGCTCTTCAGCATGAGATACAGCTTCAACTGAGCCACATTCCCAGCCCTATTTTGTATTTTATTTCGAGACAAGGTCTCACTGAGTTGCTTTGAGACTCGCTTTTGCTGAGGCTGGCTTTGAACTCGCAATCCTCCTGTCTCAGCCTTCTGAGCAGCTGGGATTACAGGGTGGGCCACAGGAGCCTGGCTCACATTTTTTTTTTTTTTTTTTAGAGAGAGAGAGTTTTTTTAATATTTATTTTTTATTTTTCGGTGGACACAGCATCTTTGTTTGTATGTGGTGCTGAGGAGGGAACCCTGGCCGCACGCATGCCAGGAGAGCGGGCTACCGCTTGAGCCACATCCCCAGCCCCTGGCTCACATTTTTTTAAAGAGGTGCCTCCACTCCTACCTAGAAAGCACAGCAAGGGGCTTAGAATAGATTTCTTCACAATAGATCTCAAATCCTTTTCAATTTTGTGTGTGTGCATGCGGTGCTGGGGACTGAATCCAGGGCCTTGTGCATGCAAGGCAAGCATTCTACCTACTGAGGTATATCCCCAACCCAAATTCTTTTCAATTTTGCATCCTTGGGATCGTGCACAGTGCTTAACACAGAGTGTTCACTCTGCAAAAGTTTATCGAATTTAGAAATGGCTTATCAAGTGTGCAGTACTGTGACCATCAGAGTAGTTTCTCAGGATATCAGCAGTTGTGTGACCTTGAGAAGTCGCCTAACCATGATGAGATCAATGGAGGACTGGGATGCCGCTCAGTGGTATGGCACTTTCTGGTATGCAAGAGGCCCTGGATTCCATCTCCAGGACCGCAAAAATAAAATTTTAAAAAACGGAAATACTACTGCTCGCCTTGTACTACTGGCTCCTCGGAGGGCTTTACACAACAAGCAGCACTGTAAAAAGCTACACATGTGTAGAGTTTGGGTAAGGCTGTTGACTAGATGAATGGTACAACGCTAAGCATACATGCAAGTGTGAGAGAATACTGGGCTGCTGTTGTGCAGGGGCTATAACTAGCTGGCCCCATTTCCCCATCTTAAACATACAGGCTGAGACTCGATGACGACCCGGGATCTACACTCTTCGGTCTATAAGCCTGCTACAGGCTCAAACACTCAAGCGTTCTCAGAAAGGTGAACCCCGAGGCTCCCAGGTGCACCTGGCAGGGCATGGACAGTCAAGGTCGTACGCTACTGAGACAGGGGGCGCTCACCCAGTCAAAATCACACGGATTACCGTCTTCGCGTTGGGTGGGCAAACCGTGACAGAGCGGCGGCAGTTTTCTCACAAGTAGGAAGGCGGCAGACAGCAGAGCAGACAGCAGGCAGTAAGGTCGAGCCAGCCATCGTGAAAGCCTCGGCACCGAATACAAGAGAGCAAATAAAGGTGCCAGGACCGCCATCTTTCCGGCCCTTGCTGCACCCGCCGCTCTCAGCCGTCTGTAGTTGAGCCTCCCCACCACTGAGACTTCTATTGGACCAAGTCTCAAGGTGCACCGCCTCTGGGCCCGGAAGTAGATCTCTGATTGGATGTTGAGGCAGGTCAGACCTGAAAAGAGGATTCATACTTTATTGGCCAATACAGCTGTCGTTTTTTTATCTAGGTCATCTTATTGGTATGCGACTGTGGTGAGTCGAGGTATCAGAGAAGAATTTAAGAAAGTTAGACAGCACTTCCTGAACGTTTTCGTAGAGCGACGGAAGTAGTTGCCGGAATGAGGTGGGCGTGGTTTGCAATATCCAATGATAGGAGGCTCCTAAAGGAAGAGGGCGGTACCCGGTGAAAGGATTGTCCAATGAATATCACTAACGCCACAGACACCAAGGCAGCGCCGCGGCCGTGGGGACATGGAGAATTTCACGGCGCTATTCGGAGCTCAAGCTGACCCACCACCGCCTCCAACTGCACTCGGCTTCGGACCAGGAAAACCTCCACCTCCACCTCCACCTCCTCCGGGCGGGGGACCCGGCACGGTCCCGCCTTCATCCGCGGCCACCGCCCCTTCGGGTGCAGACAAGTCAGCGGCTGGTTGTGGCCCCTTTTACCTAATGAGGGAACTGCCAGGTGAGTACTAGGCCTGGCCGAAGTCAGCCAATCAGATCATACATAGGAGGTAATGGGCGTGGCTATGTTTCTCTGCAGTGCGAAGTAACCTAGGCAACGCGTGGCCCGGATGTGCAGCTCAAAGTCGGAAAGGCTGTTAGGATTCACAAAGGAATGGCTTGAATTTATGGGATTGATTGGGGGCGAGTGGCCATGCATCTCTGCATTATTTTTCGTGCTAAAGCCAGGCTCTGTCACTGACTTGTGGCGGTCTAGGAAAAAAAAAGTTGGAACTTTAGAAGCCAGATTTAACTTCTCTGGGGACCTAAGGTTTTAGTTTATGTGGGACACAAATTTTGTTTGAAGCAAGTTGCCTGCCTTCCCAGAAGTTCAACAATCCATCTACTAAAAGAGGGTATTAGAACTGAACCAAATTCTTCCATTTCAAAAACTTATTTGGGGGGCTGGGATTGTGGCTCAGTGGTAGAGCACTCGCCTAGCATGGGCGAGACCCGGGTTCGATCCCCAGCACCACATAAAAATAAAGACATTATGTTGTGTCCATCTACACCTAAAAAATAAATATTTTTTAAAAAAAAACTTATTTGGGGGACTGGGGATGTGGCTAAGTGAGAGAGCACTTGCCTAGCATCCATAAGGTTCTAGATTCAAGTGACAGTACCACAAGAATACAAAAATTATTTTGTTAAGCACTATTTATCAAGCAATATTCTAAACACTGGAGATACAGTGTGAACAAGATTGATAAGATCCTTGCCTTTTTGAAGATTACATGTCAGCAAAAGAGGTGAAATATAAACATGTATCCTGTATCCATTCACTTTTCCTGAACTACCGAACGGTAGCTTCTGACTGATTAACCCAATTTTTGTTGTTCATGGAGCTGTTTGGGTAATTAAAAATAAATGATCGGGCTGGGGATGTGGCTCAAGCGGTAGCGCGCTCGCCTGGCATAACAAGATAGTAATTAATAGTATGAGGAACAGACATAAATAATTGAGGGCAGAACTATTTTAGCTGAAATGATCATAGCATTCTCTCTGAGTAGATAGCATTTGAGCTAAAATTGAGCATAGACAAAGATCCTGCTACTATGGACGGAAGGAGAGATACTTCTAGGTATACACAAAATTAGATAAGCTAGTCCTCATGTAAGAAAATGCTTGGAATCTCTGAGGGACAGAAGACCCACTGGACGCCAGTGAAGTGAACAAGGGCAGGAGCAGTAAAGGGTGAAGAGGGAAAGCTGGGCAGAGGCCTTTAGAATGCATTTAGATTTTAAGTTATAAGAGAAGCCAACATGGGGTGACATGATCATTTATTTTATTTTATTTTTTATTTTTTTTAAAGAGAGAGAATTTCTTTAATGTTTATTTTTTTAGTTTTCAGGAGATACAACATCTTTGTATGTGGTGCTGAGGATCGAACCCGGGCCGCATGCATGCCAGGCGAGCGCGCTACCCCCTGAGCCACATCCCCAGCCTGATCATTTATTTTTAATTACCCAAACAGCTCCATGAACAACAAAAATTGGGTTAATCAGTCAGAAGCTACCGTTCAGTGGTTCAGGAAAAGTGAATGGATACATGTTAGAGGTAGAGCTGAAAAGAATGAAGAATCGCGTATAGAAGTGAAGCAAAGGGAGGAATTGATAATTTAAGATTTTGACTTGAGGAATGGGGTGGATGGTAGTCTGAGACTGGAATATGAAGAAAGAATAAGTTTTAGATGGTAGAAATCACAAGTTATTTTGGACATGTTAAGTCTCCAGGATGCCTTTCAGTTCATTCCAAGTCTTATTGCCATATCATGACTTGGGAGACACCCATATGTAATGCTGTTTAATACTTAGAATTGCCCTTTGAGGTATGCATTATTTATCTGCATTTCTAGTTTAAAAAACTGAAGTGTAAAGTTTGACTAAAAAAAAAAAAAAAAGAAGTTTGACTATCAGCCCGATGCAGTGGCACATGCCTTTAATCCCAGCAGCTTGGAGGCTGAGACATGAGGATCATGAGTTCAAAGCCAGCCTCAGCAATGGTGGGGTGCTAAGCAACTCAATGAGACCCTGTCTCTAAATAAAAATACAAAATAGGGCTGGGGATGTGACTTAGTAGTCGAGTGCCCCCGAGTTCAATCCCTGGTACAAAAAAAAAAAAAAAAGTTGACTATCCTTTGATTGGTAATTGGTGTCTACCAGTTTCTTTTTCTCTTGTCCCCCCTACCCTTTCTTTTTGTACTGGGGATGGAACCCATGAGTGAAAGAGAAGTGACCCATAAAATAGAGAAGCCATGGGTGATGTGGGCAATATTTGGAACTTTAAGGAAAAAAACATCAAACCTGCATAGAGTTGACTAAAAAAGTGATGGAAGAGCAAGATTTTGTTTTTGAGTGAGTCAGGGCCGGGGATAAAAATTTATAAATTATCTTCTTAGAACTAATAGTAAAAACAGAAAGTTGAACTCTTATTAAATAAGTTTAGAAAAAGTGAGTGCCTTCTCACCTTGAGCCTTAAGTAAAACCATCTGGAAGGAGGAGAGCTGTCAGGGCAAAAAATCAGGAGACAGTAATGGCAGGAGGTAGTGCCCAGAGTTAGAGGACGTTTACCATGACACTAAGTCTCTTGCCATTACAATTAGACCACTCTTCTGAGATTTTTGGCAATAACAAGAAGGAAAAGTATGGAGTAAGACCCAAACACATAGAGTAAAAGCACCTTGTTCATTTAATATTTATTGAGTAGTTAACGTGTGCACCATGCTGGGCATTAGCAATGCATGAATAAACAAGACACTTTCTGTCTTCAGGGGGCTCATAGTCAGTCAGAACCTGAGTTTTCCCCAAGTGAATGATTATAAACAAGCCACTTGTCATTTGTATCCATGTGACCATCATAATTACAGATGAAGTTATAGGTTAGATGTTTCTCCCCTTGCTACTCAGTCTTCATCAAGTTCTAGTAAGTTTATATTCTTTGAAAAAAATCAGCAATATAGTATTTATATTGATAATGCCTTCCATGTATTTTTAAACTTTTCAATGTTTTCATTTGAGGGACTGTGGTATGGAAGACAGTCAGAATTAGGATTCTAGTTGTCCACTTGTAACCAAACATTACTGTCAGCCAGGCACGGTGGCACACACCTGTAATCCCTGTGGCTCAGAAGGCTGAGGCAGGAGGATCACAAGTTAGAAGCCACCTTCAGTAACTTAGCAAGGCACTTAGCAACTCAGCGAAACCCTGTCTCTAAAATACAGAAACAGGCTAGGGATGTGGCCCAGTGGTTAATACCAGTGGATTCAATCCCAGAACCGAAAAAAAAAAAAAAAAAAAAATTCTGTCTTCTAAGTGAAATATTAATACTTGGCATGAGGAAGAATAAAGATACTGGTAACAGTAACATCTTTACAAGTAGAGATGTGCACAGTGATGTATGCTTGTAATCCCAGCAACACAGGAGCTAAAGCAGAATCACAAGTTTGAGGCCCGCCTCAGCAATTTAGTGAGACCCTGTCTCAAATAAAAAGGAGTGGAGGTGCAGCTCAGTGGTAAAGCACCCCTGGATTCAATCTTTAATTGAATCTTTAATTTAACCTGTAATTTACTTTTGTTTCTTGCTTTATAAATCAGTTTAAATTTTTGTAATTCTCATTTAGGATTCCTTATCTAGGTTAAAAAAGAAAACAAAACAAAACAAAAGAGTAGAAATGTTAGGTACTCATAACTAGGGGGAAAAATATTTTTTTTAATTTTCTTTTTTTCTTTTAGTTGTAGTTGAACACAACACCTTTATTTCATTTATTTGTTTATGTGGTGCTGAGGATTGAACCCAGCGCCTCAAACATGCTAGGTGAGCACTCTACCACTGAGCCACAACCCCAGCCCCAAAATCTTTTTTTTTTTTTTTTAATGTGAAGGTGATTCATATTTTTTGCTATTAAAAAAAAAAAAAACTGGATGTGGTGGCAATGGTTCAGGAGGCAGAGGTAGACGGCTCACAAGTTTGAGGTCAGCCTTAGCATTAGTGAGGCCCTCAGCAACTTAGCAAGGCCTGTCCCAAAATAAAAATAAAGGACTGGGTGTATAATTTAGTGAGTTGCTTAGGGCCTCACTAAGTTGCTGAGGCTGGCTTTGAACTCGTGGTCCTCTTGCCTCAGCCTCCCAAGCTGCTAGGGTTACAGGCCTGCACCACTGGACCTGGGTCTCACTGGTAAATTTTATGAAAAGCACTTATAAAAACATAAGTGTCATGTGAATTATTGTTCAGATTAGTTCAAGGAGTGTCTCCTTCATTGGGCTAGAGCAGTATGCCCTGCTTAGATTTTTACCCTTTTTTCACTTCTACCATTCTGTACTATTATTATTTGTGTGTGTTGGGGAGGGGCGGGTACTGGTGATTAAATTCTGCACACTACCACTGAAATATATCCCCATTCCTTCTTATTTTTTGAGACAAGTCTAAGTTACTGAGGCTATCCTCAAACTTGATACTTTTGTCTCCACTTCCCAAGTAGCCAGGATTACAAGCATACACCACTATGCCCAACTATGTCTTTTGTGCTTATTATATATTATAGATTGACTGCCCCTTATTCAAAATGCTTGGGACCAGAAGTGTCTCAGATTTCATAGGTTTTCAGATTTTGGAATGTCTAGATTTTATCAGTTGAGCTCTGTAACCCAAAAATCTGAAATTGAAATGCTTCAAAATCTGAAACAAAAAGTCTTATGATAGAGTTCAAAAAGTTTCCAATTTCCCAGCCATTTCAGATTTCAGGTTTTTGGACTCAGGGTGGTCAACCTGTAATTTACTTTTGCTTTGTTTCTGGCTTTATAAATCAGTTTAAATTTTTGTAATTCTCATTTAGGATTCCTTATCTAGGTTAAAATATAATCCTTTGATTTCCCTCTAGGTCAATGACAAAAAAAATCTGTTTTTATTACTAATCTTTTATTATTCTGTGTTGTCTAGGTAGTACAGAGCTGACAGGCAGCACCAATCTGATCACACATTACAACTTGGAACATGACTATAATAAATTCTGTGGAAAGAAGGTGAAGGAGAAGCTAAGTAATTTCCTGCCTGACTTGCCAGGGATGATTGATCTGCCTGGTTCCCATGATAACAGCAGCCTCCGTTCCCTCATTGAGAAGCCACCTATTCTTGGTGGCTCTTTTAATCCTATCACAGGGACCATGCTCTCTGGCTTCCGCCTCCATACTGGTCCGGTGAGTCCTCTCTTGGGGAGGAGAAAGGCAAATGATGATGAGACCTAAGAGGCATGGAGGTGGCTTTTTGTTCAAGTCTGTTCCTTCATAATTTACTAAGCGAACAGATGATGGGAGCAGGGCATTTCCTCTTAGTCATCTGGCCCTTCCTTTGGTTCTTTCAGTTGCCCGAGCAGTGTCGTCTGATGCACATTCAGCCTCCCAAGAAGAAGAATAAACACAAACACAAACAGAGCCGTACCCAGGATCCTGTCCCCCCAGGTAAGAAGCAATTCTATTCAAAAGCAAGAAAATGTGACCTTCTCAATCTGGTTTGGCCTTCCAGTTAATCCCAGTTAGTTCCCTACAAGAGTGTGGACTCTTAATTCTCCTGAAGATGATGACTGATATTCTGGGGTCTCTTGGGCAAGCATTGACTTGGGAGAGGGTCTTTAGCAGCACTTTGTTCTTCCTGGCCATTTAGAAAAAAGCATTTGCCCCTGACTTGAGGTTTTGCTGTAGCCTTCAGAGTTCATAGCAGTAGAGGATTTTGAGCTCTAGAGGTGATAAGCATCTAATGTCACCTTACAGAAACACCTTCTGATTCGGATCACAAGAAGAAGAAAAAGAAAAAAGAAGAGGATCCTGATAGGAAAAGGAAGAAGAAAGAAAAGAAGAAAAAGAAGGTAGGGTGGAGGCCTGTTGCTACAGCCCAATGAGTTTCCTTATATTTCACCCTGTCCTAAAGATTTTATCCTTTGCTTGAAGTTGACCGAAGATTGAAAACGCAAGACGTTTTTTTCTTACATAGCACTGGTCAAGGCCAAGCTAGTTCCTAAATGTTTTTACCCCTTCTTCTTTGTCTCCCTCAGAACCGACATAGTCCAGACCATCCAGGTATGGGCAGCTCCCAGGCCAGCAGCAGCAGCAGCCTCCGTTAACAGAATCACTGGACTCTGGCTTTTCCTGCAGTACTGAATCTGCTAACAAAAGCTATCTTCCAGGCTCTTGGGATGCTGCTTTGAGAGCATCCAGCAGTGTGGACAGAGACCAGCTCCTGCTGTACTTTATTAAGAGTAATACATTAGAAGAGAGAAGGGCATGTAAGGCTCAGCCCTGTTGGCTTTCTCATGGACATCTCTTCCTCTCCCAGGAAGCTTTCTATTTCTTTTCTCTCTTGTGCAATTTGTCTGATTTCAGGACTTGGTTTGTTAGGATTTTTCGTAAAAAAAAAAAAAAAAAAAAAAATTTTTTTTTTTTTTTTTGCATTTATCAAACTGACTGAAATGTGGCTGCCTATTAAGAGGTAAGTGCCTTTCTGTGAAAGTGAGGGTTTAAAAAGCATTGCTAAGATCAGAAGGGACTTGAGTCTTGTCATTACATGATCTCGTTAGCAGAGAAACAATGAAAATGAAACAAGGAACATGGTCCCCAGTGGGAAAAAGTGAGGCAGTGCTTGCTAATACTTTTCCATAGCAAACACATAACAGGATAAACCAAGTGCTTGGATAAATCTTCATGCTCCATCTGAACAGTTGAACCAATTAGGGGTCAACAATGTGCTCCAGGTCTATTTTATTTTGAAACATATTAGCCAACTAAAAAGGCATCCATAATCACCAGTGTATTTCAGCAAGATTGGTTTTTAGTCAGAAGCCTATGATTTTTTTGAAATGAACCTCTGGGAGGAAAGGCAAATGCTTCTGGGTTTTTTTTTTTTTTTTAATATTTACTTTTTAGTTATAGGTGGACACAATATTTTATTTTTATGTATTGCTGAGAATCGAACCCAGTGCCTCACGCATACAAGGGGAATGCTCTACCTCTGATCTACAACCTCAGCCCACTTCTAGTCTTTTTTAAAAAATCATTTCACCTGCTTCTTTCCTTAGTTAGGAATTGGAATTATTTGGCTGCTTTGAAAATACTTCCAAGTTTCTAATATAGCAACAATAAAGGCAGCCTAAAATAGCCATCAGGTTGTAAAATAGCCAGGCACAGTGACCATGCCTGGAATCCCAGCTACTTAGAAGGCAGGAGGATCACAATTTTGAGGCCAGCCTGGGCAATTCAGTGAGACCCTGTAAAAATGGTTGGGGATGTACCTCAGTGGTAGAATACTTGCATAAGATACGAGAGGCCCTGGTTCAATCCCTAGTGCCTCAAAAAGGGAGGGGGGGTTGGTTTTGGTTTTCTTTTGGGGATGGGGGTGGGCACTAGGGATTGAACCCAGGAGCACATTACCACTGAGTCATATCCCCAGCTCCACCCCTTTTAAAATATTTTTTTATTGTATTTAGTCACAATACCTTTATTTTATTTATTTTTATGTGGTGCTGAAGCTTGAACCCAGTGCCTCACACGTGCTAGGCGAGCACTCTACTGCTGAGCCACAACCCAGTCCCCCTTTTTGAGACAGGGTCTTACTAAATTGCTGTGGCTGGCCTTAAACTTGTGATCCTCCAGCCTCCAGAGTTGGGAGGATAACAGTGTGCAGCACTGACCTGAAGTAATGTCTGATAAAACAGTTAAAATCAGTTGCTATGAACCAGATCTCTGAGTAGAAAACCACTCATTCAATTCCCTTCAGGAAAGAGTTGATGCTACAGAGAGTGAAAATAGGGTTCTGGCCTGTTTCTTGAAATCTAGTGTCTGAAGATGATTATTTAAAATTAGGGCACCATCCTTTGCTTTTGACAAATAGAAGACAATATGTGTTAATTGGTTGACCTGCCACCCATATCCAGTCAGCCTGCTTTTAACAGGCATTCATACTGTCTTACATTTGGCTCTATCCAAAAGGAACCTTATTTTCAGAGACAAACAACAACTGACAAGAGTTCCCTAAGCTTTGAAATGACAAGAAGTTTTGGTGGTTGCAAAGTTTCACCCAAATAAAAACAGGAGCTGCTGTTACACGTAAATTTCTTTATGTCCAGCTTAAAGATGGCTGAGACCAGAGAAGCAGATGAGGTTTTCTTTGTGATGACTTCCCACCAGAGATCATTCACCCTACTTTAACCAGACAAAACACAAGTCAGTGGGAGCTGGTTAGATCAGGATTTCTTTTTATTCCTTGTTGGTTTAAAATGGCTAATCAGAATAAAAAATAAAAGGTCCTCTGTGTAGAGGTTGGGGTCTTCCCTATTTAGAGGTCAGAACCCAGGTATCCCCTCTACCCAGCACCATACTTAGATGGGCTGAGGGGTAACCCCTGAGGGATACTCGGAGGGGCCTAGGCCTGCCACTCCTTTGCTCTATCCCATTTTTGGCATGTGATGAAAAATATTGCTTTTTTTCTTTCCTGGCCTTTCTTTGATTTTTAAATCACGTTAACCATGTAAGCTAGGGGGAAGTTATGAGGGGCTCACTGAAGAAGCCACTCTAATCCCTCTCCCGCAAGAAGGGGGATTATCCAGTATTATTTTTTGAGCTAGGTCAAGTTCTCTTCCTGATCCTCCACCATCACCACCATCACCACCACCAGTGTCATGGAGCTCTGACCCCTTTCCTGGGGAAATTAAATGCCAATGAACATTGAAAGCTAGCTCTCTCCAAGTCTGTTCTGACCAAGATCCCAGACTCACCTCTCCCCAGGTTTCTTTCCTAATCAGCACCAACAGGGGGTGCTATTTCCTTAGTTGGTAACTGGGACAAGAGGGAACCATGGGAAAAAAGGAAGACCTCGATGTCTCTTTTCCTGCTGGTCTGAGGAAAGGGGAAAAGTAGAATCCCCCCTCCTTTGTGTATCCCTCCCTCATTTTCCCATCCCAGGATAGATATATAATTTCTTTGATATTTATAATATATATATATATATATATGTACACACACACCTGGTAACGCAGAAGAGGAAAAAAATAGAATCCGTAACAATAATAAAAAAAATTATTTCTGGTTTTAAAAATGATCTGGTTCCCTCCAGGGCGAGCAATTGCACAAATGTCCACTGAGTCTGGTCCAGGGATTAAGGAAGGGAAGGTCTTAGAAGGTAAAAGGGCATTGCTACCCCAGTCTCAGGGCCCCAACTCTCCAACTCCCCAACCCCACTGCATTTTATAAAACGCACCTCATCTCCTTGGAATCAGTGGTTTAAAAAATGTCCATGCAGGGGAGGAGAGCCCCTTGAGGGAAGGAAGGTGGCCACCTGGGGCCCTTTGGTGTAGGCGCAGAGGCGGGGGGAGGAGAGTCGCCGAAGGCTCACACCGAAATCTCATAAGTGGTACCACCCACCCCTGACACCTTCTTGACTCCTCCCCTTGTGGGGCTACTGAGAGGTGGCTGGCCTGGGCCAGAAGAGGATGAGCCTATGTTCTTGGGCTGCCCATTGGATTTGCTGTAGGCGGTCTTGAGCTGTACTTCATCTCTGGGAAGGAAAGAAAAAGCAGTTGTCAGGAAGTGGGGCATAAAATACAAGTAAGGTAAACAGTTTAAAATTTGGTTAAGAGGAAAACAAATGCACTTTTCTCTATGTATTTTTGTTATTCAAATAATCTCTCATTTTATTGCCATGTTTAAAATAGGCTGCTTCCCTATATCCCCTATTCACTCTAATAGCAGCTATCTTACATACTGACACTCAGAATTTATAAAACAACATTAGTATTAATCTTCAGTTTCTTAGGGAGGAATTACCCAAAGGCAGCTGGAATGAATGAAAATGAGGAGCTATCAGGGATGCCCTTGGGTACACATATTAGAACGCACCGGCAAAGCCCTGATACCTTATGCATGGTGCTATGCTAATTTTAAGTTGGCTGAGGTTCAGGGTGGTATAAATACTTACTTGGGTGTCAGTAATGGCTGCAAGGCCACTTCCTCTGTCTCAGAGACACCAGGTGGGGCTTTTTGGCTGCTGTAAGACATGGATCGGCCCAGATATGGGGCAGTTGGGCCTGGTTCAGGGGATCCTAACCCCCGGCCCCTTAGCCCATCTGGTTTGCCAAAACGGGGGACTGCTGGGCGTGCCAGTGGAGTCTTGCCTAAGGGTGATCTCTTTGAATCATCTGAGGATGAACTAGTACGAGGAGCATGGCCTGAGCCTGGTGTTGACTGAATGCCTGAGTCCCCCAAGCCTGGTTCTTCCTCATGGCCTGGTAGTGGGGGTGACTGGCGCAGCAGCTTCTCTCGTTCCTGGAGGGAGGCCACAATATGGCGTGACAGATTGTCGTAACGGACTGGTGAGGGCTCTCGGTGTGTTGGGCCGGTTGGCACCAAACGTGGGTGCCTCTCGGCTTCCCGTTGCTGGGCCAGCCGGGCTGACAGGAAGGGAGAGGTGTAGCCTAAAGGCGGGTCTGGCTCAGGCCCTGCCTGCACTGACTCGAAATCAGGACTGTCTGAAGGAGTGAGTAGGCTGTCATAAGATAGGCTTCCATTGCGTGTCTGGTTGGCCAGGCTCTTGTAGGAGGTGGAGGTGGTGCCTTCTGAACGAATGGACTGCAACTGGCCCAGCTCAAAACCTGTGCCCTGGGCTGACTTGAGGCTGGAGGAGCGCGAACCACTGGATAGGGGATCGAAGTGAAAGCTTTTGCCAAAGGTGGGAGAACGGAAACTCTCTGGTTCCAAGCTGGGCTCTGAACGATAGCTGGGATGGCGACTGCTTTCTGCAATTGAGTTTGGCTCCTTTAAGCTGTCCCCACGACTTAACTAAGGAAGAAAGTAAAACAAACTTAGTGCTCCTCTGTGACTAATACTAGATCCCAGAGCCAAAAGAGTCAAGAATGGAATTATATGCCAGTAGTATGCTTAGAACTTCTACATGCATTATTTGGTTTAACTCCTTAACTCAGATGAACTGGAATAAATAATCTCTCATTTTAAGACGCAAAAAATGAGGCTTGGAGAAGGTATAAGTAAGTAACTTGCTTATGATGGCAGAATTAGATTTTGGAATCAGATCCGACCACTATAATCGATGCTATATGATAACACGTAGCTCCTTCTTTGATAAAGGACACACTATCAAGGAGGCCAACAATTCATAAAATATCTTCCATTTCTTCTCTTCCCATCTGCCTTTTCCTTCTCACCAGCTTGTTTTTTCCCCCAAAGAGTTGGTGTATATTACAACCCCACTTCTAGAGTACCCCACTTCTAGAGTACACAGTACCTTGGCGCTGGAGGAATGAGGCATGGCGGCTGATGTGCTGCTGCTACTGTAACCTGGCCGATACTTGTACATGGTAGGTGTTGGGGGGCTATCTTTGCCCAAGAGGCTGCTATCTGCAGGTAGAAAAGCCCAGGAAAAACACTTATAAGCTATTCTCTTAATATTCCTAGGGTTCCTTAAAATATGGAGGAAGGAGAAAATAAGAACAGACAGATATACCCAGCAAAAGAAAAAGTCTAAGGAACATAATTTTG